ATGAAACCTTTAAGTCTTTGTTGCTAAAAGGTGCGGGTGCCGAATGAAACCTTTTAGCATTGTAGCTGAATCGTGCGTGTGCCGGATAAAACCTTTTCAGCTTTGTTACTGAAAGGTAGGTGTGGGATCCACAAGTTTAGGCTGATTAAATGGAAGTTGTGTGTGCCGGATGAAACCTTTCCGGCTTTGTAACTGAAAAATGCGTGGCTTTGTAACTGAAAAATGCGTGAAAAATGCTGAAAAATGCATTTAGGGTTTTGCAACCGAAATGTGCGTATGCGAAATCCACTTTTTCAATCTTTCGCAGCTGAAGCCTTTCTGTGTGAACCTGGCCCCGGCTAAAACCCCTTCGATTTTATTGAAATTCAGAAACCTGTTTACTTGGAATTGTTGCCTGACCGGAACAGCCTTTGCACTGCAGCGAGGCGCGTAAGCGCCGCGCGCTGTGCTTATCTTAACTATTAAGACAGAGCTGTCTGTCCGTAACGCTCCCGCCTCCAAATCGCTCTCATTGGTCAGAGCCAAAACACTTACCAAATGAAGTGAACCTACTGAACAAACTGACAAACTATAGTGAACCTGCTGAACACACTTACCAAACAAAATGAACCAACAGAACGCAACCAAAACCTTAGTGAACCAGCTGAACCCAACCAAAACCTTAGTGAACCAGCTGAACCCAACCCAATCCTTGGTGAACGAACTGAACCCAACCAAAACCTTACTGAACCAACTGAACCAACCCGAAAAGTTAGTGAACCAGCTAAATCCAACCTAATCCTAAGTGAACCAGTTGTCCCCACCAAAACCTTAGTGAACCGACTGATCCCAAACAAATCCTGATTGAACCAACTGAACCCAACCGAAAAGTTAGCGAACCGGCTGAACCCAACAAAAACCCTACTGAACCAGCCGAACACAAACAAATCCTGATTGAACCAACTGAACCCAACCGAAAAGTTAGCGAACCGACTGAACCCAACAAACAACCTACTGAACCAGCCGAACATAACCTAATTTCAATGAACCGACTAAACCCAACCAAAACCTGAGTGAACCAGCTGAACCCAACCCAATCCTTAGTGAACGAACTGAACCCATCCAAAACCTTAATGAACCAACTGAACCCAACCAAAACCTTAATGAACCAACTGAACCAAGCCAAATCCTGATTGAACCCACTGAACCCAACCAACAAGTTAGCGAACCGACTGAACCCAACAACTACCCTACTGAACCAGCCGAACACAACCTAATTTCAATGAACCAGCTGAACCCAACCAAAACCTTAGCGAACCAGCTGAACCTAACCTAATCCTTAGTGAACGGACTCAACCAAACCATAACCTTAATGAACCATCTGAACCCAACCAAAACCTTAATGAACCAACTGAACCAAACCAAGACCTTAATGAACCAACTGAACCAAACCATAACCTTAATGAACCAACTGAACCCAACCTGATCCTTAATGAACCAATTGAACCCAAACGAATCCTTAATGAACCAACTGAACCCAAACGAAAAATTAGTGAACCCAAACCATATTAAACCAAATAAATCTAACTCAGTCTTTATTGAACCAACTACCCAACCAAAACATTTGAGAACCGACTGAACATTTCTCTTACTAAACCAACTGAACCGAACCAAAACGTTTGCTCGATTAAGGTTCTGCTGATTTGCGTTTTGCGCAGTTCTGGAAAAGAAAGTACTCGAAAGATCTGCTTATGATATAATTTTTTTCCGTCAACTAAGTCCATCGATTCCAATTTTTTTCTGCGCAGTTTTGGAAAAGAAAGTTCTAGAACATTCTGTTTATGACGCAACGTATTTCTGTCATGAGTAACCTTAACCCTTTGACTCCGATTTTTCTATCTTTGCAGTTCTGCAAAAGAAAGTTCTGGAAAATTGTGTTCATGACATAGTTTTTCCTTCACCTTAGTTTACCGATTCCAATTTTTCTCTCTGCGCAGTTCTGGAAAAGAAAATTTTTAAACGTTCTGTGTATGACATAACGTTTTTCTGTCATGAGTAACCTTACCCAATCGATTCCGATTTTTTTCGCAGTTCTAGAAAAGAAAGTTCTAGAACATTCTGACGTAACTTCAACAAAAACTCTGAATGAGTCACCCCGGAACAAATTTTCCAACCGCAAAAAGTATATAAAGAAGGTTGGAGCGAAAAAAACTTGATCATTCTTTCACTTTTCGATTTTGTCAGATATTGACAGTTAGGTTTCTTGAAGTTTTTTTGCGGCCAACTTAAAAATCTTCAGAAACTTGCTATTGACCAGTTTGAGATGGTTCTGAAACCTCAGTTTGTTTTCTAGCGAATGTTTTTGACACAACTGTTTGTTTCTTGGGGCTATAGAGTCGATTAGGATGTCACAAAATTTGGAAGATTATACGTTAGCGAAGAACTTTGTTTCCAAAATTGGGAAGTCTGCTAAAGTGATAGGGGAGATTACGAAGGTTTCTAAACAAAACCGAACACTTCACATCCGTACTCCTGACGGTGTAGTCGTTTTTGTGAATCTTGCCGAACAAGTAAGTCATGCTTTGATACTATCTCCAGAATCATTAAGCGCACGGGGTGTTACTGCAGTTTCTCGGACCTTTGCGTGGATTTGTCGAAGTCAGTGGGTTAGTTGCTGGGGTTAAGACTGTAACATGCCAGACGCTCCTCCACGAAGTGGAATTTGACTCCCGGCTCTCCGTTATTTACGGTAAGAAAAGCAATACTGTTCTCTCTCCATGATTGTCTTTCTGTATTTCGCATAGAAATTAAGTTTTGGCTTTTTTATGATACCTGTTCCAAATTTGTTAAAGGGTCAGCAGCCCAGCAGTTCGCGCGGTCCGAAGACAGGAATAGAGAGAATTCAAACATGGCGAGAAAATATGTCAGGGGATGACCGAATACGCCAGCATCTCGAAGACTCAGAAAGAAAGCATCAAAAGAGACTGAATGAAACTGAAAGTGAATGTCTTGACCGGTTACGTCACGATGCTTTGCAGCATAAAAGTCGACGGCAAGAAAACAAAACTGAAAAATCTGGACGGTTCGAAGCTCTACAGTACTCTGATTCACACACCGCACTGTTGGAACTGGGGCCTATGGACTGCGTTTGTTCTGCCTGTGGAGCGCGGCATTTTAAAGCTGAGTTGACTGGCAAGGACAAAAACATTTTTACGACTTGCTGTCAAGAAGGTGCAGTCGTGTTGGATCCTGTCGTACCGGAAGGATTTCCCCAGCTTTTGAAGGCGCTTCTGCTCGGAGAACACCCGGCTAGCAACAACTTTCTGGAGCATATAAGACAGTACAACAGCGCACTGGCTTTTGCCTCTATTGTGGCAAAACTGGACAAGCCACCAGGACGCGGGCCCTGCCCATACAGAATATCAGGCCAGCTGTACCATTTTCTTGGACCTGCAAAAGCAGAAACTGACAAAGAACCGTCGTACGGGCAGCTATATTTCCTTGATAGCGCCGATGCTGCTGAGGTTCGCGTAACTAATCAACAGAACAAGGACCTGAATTTTAAAACACTTGGTGAATTGGAAGCGGTTATAAGAGCCGTTAACCCCTTCGCTGCAGCTTATCGAATGATGAATGAAGTGGAGAAAGAGGAATTACAGAAAGCTCAGCAAGATAACCGCCCACCACTGGAAGTAAAACTCCTTTTCGACAACAACCTTCGCAAACCAAGCCGTAAGTACGCAGCGCCGACGAGTAACGAGGTTGCGGCCATTATAGTCGGTGGGAGTGAAGGAGGCTTCCCGGAGCATTGTCTGGCAGTCCACTGCAAATCTACTGGACTGAAAACGATTCCCACCTTGAATGGTGATTGCGAGCCAATGTGTTATCCGTTATTCTTCCCGCTTGGGACTAAAGGCTTCCACCCAGAAATGGAGCGGACTCGGGGGCGCAGCGAAATATCCCAGTTGGAGGTAGGTGTAGTCAAGCTATTCTAATGCCGAGAACTGAGCAGCCACCAGATTTTTGCGAAACTTAAGAAAATCTACTTATCTTTCCGGAAACTTACATCCAATAAAACCGCTGCAGTAAAACTAAGCTTACTGTAACGGTTGGTCCAACTAAGCTATTGCCTTCTGCAAAACCATTTAGCGTGCAGCCAACCGTTGCCTAAGAGGTTCTTACTACGATGTTTTCGGCAGTTCTATAGCTACCGGATTGCTGACCGTGGGAACTTCAACCCAATCCTATGCGGCAAAAAATTGTTCCAACAGTACTTGGTCGATTCGTACGTTAAAGTAGAAGGGTCTCGCCTGCAGTATCAGAGACTGCAACAAAAGAAATTGCGAGTGGAAACGTACCAAGGGCTGTCTGACTATTTAGCATCGGCGGCATCGGCGCAGGAAGCTGAGCCAGGACGCACCGTGGTACTGAGCTCTAGCTTTGCTGGAGGCCCACGAGCAATGCGTCAGAATTACCAGGATGCTATGTCTCTTTGTCGAAAATTTGGAAAACCGTTTCTTTTTTTGACAATGACGTGTAACCCCAGGTGGTCTGAGATTCAGCATAACCTTTACCCGGGGCAACAAGATACTGACAGACCTGACCTGGTTTCCAAAGTCTTCAAGCTAAAGCTGAAATTTCTGCTGGAAGACATTGAAAAGCGCGAAATCTTTGGCCGAGTTGACGCATTTTGTATGGTGAGTGTTGAAATAATATACTTGGGACTCGCCGCGCACAAAAGCAAAACTGATTTCGTTGCCCTCAGTAAATTTTTGTTTTGTTTCACCGGGTAATAAACCTTATAAACTTTTTAGACCATTGAATTTCAAAAACGTGGCCTTCCTCACTGTCACCTTCTCTTGATTGTGGATAAGAGAGACGCCCGAGTGGACACTGATACCATTGACAAAGTTGTCTGCTGCGAGATTCCGGACCCGACACAGCAACCGCGTTTATACGAAGCCATAAAAAAATTCATGATACACGGGCCATGCGGAAAGAATAACCCCAGTTTTGTATGCATGAAAGAGACGGGAATATGTCATGCAAAATTCCCAAAAGCTTTTTGCCCGGAGACCAACCCAAATAAGGACGGATACCCCGAATACCGGCGAAGGGATTCAGGCATAACCATCACAGTTGGCACTCGCACCGTTGACAATCAATGGATTGTGCCATATAATCCGTACCTTCTCCTGAAATACAATTGTCACATCAACGTCGAAATTTGCGCTACGATCAAAAGTTTCAAGTACCTCTACAAGTATATTTTTAAAGGCCACGACGTTGCCCTTATCACTATGACCGATTCAAGCGGCAAAAAAATCCTCAACATGGATGAAATTCAAGCGTTCGTTGATTCGCGGTACATTAGCGCCCCGGAAGCGCATTGGCGGCTCAGCAAGTACGAAATGCACGCGATGTCGCATACTGTAGTACGAATGCCGGTGCACAAGCCTAACGAACAAGATGTGTATTTCGCCGCTGGAGAAGAAGAAACTGCTGTGTAAAGCGCCTCTACCCGTGACACTATGCTCACCGCATGGTTTAAGCAAAACCAAAAAGATGCAGATGCCAGGTCAATACTGTATCACGACATACCAATTAAATATCGCTTTGAAAGAGGTGCCTGGAAAAAGCGCGTTAACGAGACGGGAGGAAGAATCATCGGTCGCATGTATGCCGTAAATCCACGGGACTGTGAACGTTTCTACTTGCGCCTTCTTTTGCTCCATGTTACTGGGCCACTAAGCTTTACAGACCTTCAATCGGTAAATGGCGAGACATTTGCTACATTTGAGGATTCAGCGAGAGCACGAGGGTTGCTGGCGAACAGCGACCACTGGATTCAGTGTATGGAAGAAGCTTCTGGGACTGCTATGCCAGCTGCTATGCGATGCCTGTTTGTGACAATCCTGATCTATGGTAACCTTCCGCCCTCGGATGCCCGTTATTTATGGCAGGCTTACAACCACGCTATGAGCGAAGACTTCAGGCGTAACCGCACACCGGATGCAGCCATATTTTTTGCGTACACTGATGTCAACAAACGCCTAGATTCATTTGGTGTCAGCCTTCTTCGTCCGTATCAAATTCCGGAGCCTCTCCGGCCCTCAGAATTTTAAGAAGAAATCATTGACAAGGAAGCAGAGTTAAAGAAAGGTGGCGAAAAGTTTGCTTCCATGAACGAAGCACAGAAAACGGTTGCGAACGCAGTTCTGGACGCTGTTCATGACAGATCCAACGAACGTTGCATTTTTGTTGACGCTCCAGGTGGAACTGGAAAAACCTTTGTATTTACCGCCATTGCTCATCAGTTAACTGGGGAAGGTATTTCTGTTGTTTGCATGGCTAGCACAGGAATCGCTGGAAATTTACTGCCACGTGGGACTACTGTGCACACTGGAACAGGGTTGCCGCTCAAATTAGATAGCAATTCCCGCCTCGCCGTATCAAGTCGAAACCATTTAGGCATCAGACTGCGCAATGCTAAAGTATTTTTATGGGATGAAGCGCCGATGTCATCTGCTATGGCTCTGGAGACGATTGACGTCAGCCTTCGTGAACTTATGCAAAACGATCTGCCTTTTGGTGGAAAAGTTATGGTTCTTGGTGGCGATTTTAGACAGGTTTTGCCAGTAATTGAACGTGGAAATAAAACCCAACAGCTGGCTGCTTCTCTTAAACGGTCCCAGTTATGGCGGCTCTTTAAAACTTTTAAGCTGCATCAGAATTTGCGCGCGGAGAATGGCCAAGAGGAATTCTGTCACTGGCTGTTGGGTCTTGGTGAAGCAAAACTCCCCGTGGACGAAAACGACGAAATCGAAGTTCCCGAATGCTGCATCAGTTCAGGTACCTCAGACCAGTTACCCCGGATTTCGTTTTCATTTTGATAATACATCCTTCTAAAAAATTGATAATACACCAACTCATCCAAATCTTCGTAGTTTTCTAAGTTTCAACAAATTTACTAAGGTTTGGAACACAGCTTCAGTTAAGTGGCTTACTTTGCCTTGGCAAACCGCGAAAATGAATATTGACTTACAGGAGGCATTATCCAAGAGGTTTTTGGGGATATTATTCCAATAGACAACACGGAAAAGCTATTGGGCAGTGTCGTCCTTTGCCCCATCAATGAAGAAACGCTGGAAATTAATGACGAGATAGTCGAAAGAATTGAGGGAGCTGCAGTTACGTATGAGAGCATTGACAGTATAACTTGCGAAGAGGGGGAGGATCCGACAGAGTTTCCTGAAGAATTCCTTTACACACTCACGCCGAACGGACTGCCTCCACACAAACTTACTCTGAAGGTGGGAACTGTGGTGATGCTTCTACGAAATCTTGACACGAAACATGGACTATGCAATGGGTCAAGATTAATAATTCGGCGCCTTTTGCATCATACGCTTGACTGTGAAGTGCTTACTGGAACCAGCAAAGGCAAGCGTGTCCTGATACCCAGAATAAAATTGCAGGCAACAGGTGACTTTTTGCCTTTTTGTTTTGATCGGATTCAGTTTCTCGTCCGCGTGGCTTTTGCAATGACAGTTAATAAATCACAAGGGCAAACATTTCGCAATGTCGGTATTGTTTTGAAATCTCCTGTCTTTTGTCACGGTCAGTTGTATGTTGCGTTTTCACGGGCACGAAAGTTTTCTGCGATTAAGGTGCTGCTTCCGGCTGGGAAGAAGCGAACCAAAAACGTTGTTTATCGGGAGATTTTGGAATGATCCTGACAAAATAAAAATAACTGATAAAACTCGCTGGCACAGTTGGCGGTCCTGCTTTTTCAAGCTCATTTCCAACCAGTAGTACATTAAAAACAGTACTGATCTTTCCTTCGATTCAGCAACAGCAGTAGATGTTTTTTCTTTCATTGGATGCCGCGGCGCGTGAGCGCCGCGGGCGTTGCTAGTCTTAACTATTAAGACAGCTGTCTGTCCGTAACGCTCCCGCCTCCAAATCGCTCTGATTGGTCAGAGCCAAAACACTTCCCAAATGAAGTGAACCTACTGAACAAACTCACAAACTATAGTGAACCTGCTGAACACACTTACCAAACAAAATGAACCAGCTGAACCCAACCAAAACCTTAGTGAACCAGCTGAACCCAACCAAAACATTAGTGAACCAGCTGAACCCAAACTAATCCTTAGTGAACTGACTGAACCCAACAGAAACCTTACTGAACCAACTGAACCCAACCGAAAAGTGAGTGAACCAGCTGAACCCAAACTAATCCTTAGTGAACGGACTGAACCCAACAGAAACCTTACTAAACCAACTGAACCCAACCGAAAAGTTAGTGAACCAGCTGAACCCTACCTAATCCTAAGTGAACCAGTTGAACCCAAAAAAACCTTAGTGAACCAGCTGAACCCAACCTAATCCTTTGTGAACGAACTGAACCCAACCAAAACCTCACTGAACCAACTGAACCCAACCTAATCCTTAGTGAACCGACTACACCCAACCAAAACCTGATTGAACCAACTGAATTCACCCGAAAAGTTTGCGAACCGACTGAACCCATTCAAAACCTTAGTAAACCAGCCGAACCCAACCTTATTTCTGTGAACCGACTAAACTCAACCAAAACCTTAGTAAACCAGCTGAACCCAACCAAAACCTGATTGAACCAGCTGAAACAAACCGAAAAGTTAGGGAACCGACTGAACCCAACCAAAACCTTGCTGAACCAGCCGAACCCAACTTAATCTTCAGTGAACCGACTGAACCCAACCGAGAAGTTAGCGAACCGACTGAATCCAACCAAATCCTTATTGAACCACTGAACACTGCCGAATCTTTAGTGAACCAGCTGAACCCAACCTAAACGTCAATAAACCCATTCAAAAACATTAGTGAACCCCCTAAACCCAACCGAAAAACCTTTGAACCAAAAAAACCGAACCTAATCCTAGCAAAGCGACTGAACCCAACCTAAACATTATTAAATAAAATAAACCTAACCTAATCCTTACTGATCCGCTTAGCGACGTAACGTAACCACGCTAGAGTAAGCGCAATAACATTGCCACGCGAGAGTCAGCAACGAACCGTTACCCCACGAAAGTTCGCGCAGTGACGCTACCACTCGAGGGCAACCAACGGAACGTAAGCACGCGAGAGAAAGCTACGTAACCCTATTGCAGAGAGCAATCAGCGTAATCTTACCACGCGAGAGTAAGCAACACGTTACCACGCGAGTTACCACGTTACGCTACCACGCAAGTTAGTAACGTAACGATACCACGCGAGTTAGCAACGTAACGTTCCCACGTTACCACGCGAGAGTAAGCAGCGTAAAGTTACTACTCGAGAGTAAGCAGCGTAAGGTTTGCCAGTGAAGTAGCGTTAAGTAGATAAAGTTACGTAAATCTGTTACTGAGAGTAATCAGTGTAGTCTTACTGCGCGAAAGTAAGTGGCTTAACGCTACCACTCTAGAGTAAGGTAATAACGTTACCACGCGAGAGTAAGCAACGTAACCTTACCACGCGGAAGTAAACTGAGAAACGTCACCACATTTGCGTTAGCAGCGTAACGTAACCACGCAAAAGTAAGCGCGATAACGTTACAACGCTTGAGTAAGCCCAATAGCTTAACCACGCAAGAGTAAGCAGCGTAAGCTTAAAACGTGAAAGTAAGCGGCGTAACGTTACCACCGGAAGTAAAGAACGTATCTTAACCACTTAAAGCAGCGTAGCGTTATCTTGCGAAAGTAAGTGCAGTAACGTAAAAACACGACTAAAGGTGACATGACGCAAGCACACGAGACGAAGCAGCGCAACGTAAGCACGCGAGATGAAGCAGATTAACGTTGCCGCGCGAAAGCAAGCTGCATGATTTTACCACGCCAGATTTAACAGCGTGACGCTACCCACGCGAAATCAGGCAGCGTTACGTTACCACGCGAAAGCAGGCAGCGTAACGTTGCCACACGAGATCTACGTAACTACTACGGTAAGCTACGAATCTTTATTGCAGAGAGTAACCAGCGTAACGTTACCGCGTGATAGTTTAGCGGCGTAACATTACTAGCGAGAGATAGCGGCATAACGTGATCGCGCTAGGGTAAACGGCGTAACCTCACAACGCGAGAGTTCACGGCTATGCTAGCGGTTAGGTACATGAATGTGTATGTGTTAAATATTTTGCGTAAAAACTAAACACACTATACAGTTGAGTTAGTTTTTTAGTTTAAAAGATTAACGTGATCCATTTAAGGACGTCCGCTAAGCTTTGAAATGCTACCGTTTTGATAGATACAAACTACAAATTAATCCACCTTCGTTGGATCCGCGGCGCGTAGCGCCGCGATCGTTGCTAGTCTTAACTATTAAGACAGAGCTGTCTGTCCGTGACGTTCCCGCCTCCAAATCGTTCTCATTGGTCAGAACCGCAACACTTACTAAACGAACTGAACCTACTGAGCAAACTCACAAACTATAGTGAACCCGTTGAACACACGCACTAAACAAAATGAACCATCTGAACCCAACCAAA